CAGCTGCTTCAGAAAGGAGCAGACTCGTCTTGCATCATTGGTGGGCATGGCTTGAGCTTCTGCCCACCTCGAGACGTAGTCCACTGCAACCAATATGTACAGATTGCCAAAAGATGGAGGGAATGGGCCCATGAAATCGATACCCCAAACATCAAAAATTTCACAAATAACAGAGATATGTTGGGGCATCTCATCCCGGGAAGAAATGTTACCTGACCTCTGGCAGCGTTCGACTGGCGTGCGAAGGAGTCTGCATCCTTGAAGAGCGAGGGCCAATAGAAGCCCGACTGAAGAGGAAAGGATCCTCCCAGAAGTAGTGCTTCAGATCGGAGAAGAACTTGCGCTTTGCCTGAGTGGCCATCCCCTTGGGTAACTGCTTGCCCACCAGATAATTGGCAAAGTCAGAATACCAAGGGGCCACGCTGTCCACCAGGGTCATCGCCAGCAATCGCTCACCAGGGAAGGAGTCATCGATCTCTTCCACGAAGTTGTCCACCGAAGGGGCTTCCAACCGTGAAAGATGATCTGCAGCAACATTCTCGGCTCCTTTCTTGTCCCGGATCTCTATGTCGAATTCCTGCAGAAGCAGGATCCAGCGGATGAGCCGAGGCTTTGCATCAGCCTTGCTCATCAAGTAGCGAATCGCCGAGTGATCTGTGTAGACCACCACATGTGAGAGTACCAAATATGGCCGGAACTTGTCAAATGCATACACCACAGCGAGGAGCTCCTTCTCAGTGGTGGTGTAGTTCTCCTGTGCATCGTTCAAGGCCTTCGACGCGTAGTAGATGGGCTGGAAGTGCTTCTCGCGTCTCTGACCAGAACTGCTCCGACCGCATAGTCACTCGCATCGCACATCAGCTCAAAAGGGAGAGACCAGTCAGGAGTTACCATGATAGGGGCATGGGTCAGCTTCTCCTTCAGAGTCTCAAATGCAGCTGTGAACTCGGGAGTGAACTGGAATGGTGCATCCTTCTCTAGCAGCTTGGTCAAATGCAGGGCAATCTTCGAGAAATCTTTGATGAAGCGCCGGTAGAAGCCTGCATGACCTAGAAAGCTGCGAATCCCCTTCACAGAAACGAGAGGAGGTAGCTTACTGATCGTCTCAATCTTCGCGCGATCCACCTCAATCCCCTGCTTGGAGATCTTGTGCCCGAGCACAATCCCCTCACGGACCATAAAATGGCACTTCTCCCAGCTGAGTGCCAGGTTCGTCTCTTCACACCTCTTCAGAACGAGTTCCAGGTTATGGAGACAATGAGAGAAGGAGTCTCCATAAACCGAGAAGTCATCCATGAAGACTTTCATGATCTCTCCAACCAGTCGGTCGAAGATCGCCAGCATGCATCTCTGGAAGGTTGCCGGTGCATTACACAGCCCAAATGGAATCCTCCTGTAAGCAAAAGTACCGAAGGGGCAAGTGAATGTGGTCTTCGCCTGATCCTCCGGAGCAATAGGAATCTGGAAGTAACCAGACATGCCATCCAGGAAGCAATAGAACTCATGGTCAGCCAACCTCTCCAGCATCTGATCAATGAAAGGTAGGGGAAATGATCTTTCCTGGTGGCATCATTCAGGCGCCGGTAATCGATGCAGACTCTCCAGCCGGTCACGGTCCGCATCGGGATCAACTCCTTCTTCTCATTCGGGACCACAGTCATCCCGCCTTTCTTCGGGACCACCTGAGTGGGGCTGACCCACTTGCTATCAGATATAGCAAAGATGATCCCTGCATCCATGAGCTTCACGATCTCTGCCCGGACCACTGCCTCCAAGTTAGGAGACAATCTCCTCTGCGGCTGCCTGACTGGCTTAACCTCATCCTCCATCAGAATTCTGTGGGAGCAGAAGGATGGGCTAATGCCTCTGATGTCTGTGATCTTCCATGCCATGGCCCGGGCATACTTCTGCAGCAAAGCCATCAGCCTGCTCTTCTGCTCGGGTGTCAGATCCGAGCTAATGATGACCGGGAGCTTATTCCCCTCCCGGAGAAATGCATACTCCAGGTGAGAGGGGAGGGGCTTAAGCTCCAGCTCTGGTGGCTCCTCCAATGATGTAGCGATCCGGGGCGAGATAGGGATCGGCTTGAATGGTATCTCTCGCCCCTCGATCATGGCCTCGTCTAGCTCCGCGAGCTGCTCCTCCAGCTCCATGTCCTGTGATGCCTGTTCCCCTAGCAAAAGACAACGCTCAAGGAAATCATCAGTACCCGCACTCGTGATGGCGAGTGCGGTCTCAAAATCAGCAACAACATCACAGTAATCTAGATCATCATGGAGCTGGGGGTGTTTCATATTATCAGAAACAGAGAAGGTGATTTGTTCACCCCCAGCTCTCAAAATCAGTTTTCCATCATTAACATCAATAAGCGCCTTGGCGGTGGCGAGAAAAGGTCTACCCAGTATCAATGGCACATCAACATCCTCATTTATGTCCAAAATCACGAAATCAACAGGATATGAAAATGGCCCTACTGCGACTATCAAGTCCTCTGCTATACCCCTAGGATGCACAATGGATCTATCAGCAAGCTGGATGCTCATCCTAGTATCACTGGGTTCACCTAGGCCTAGCTTTTTAAACAGTTTATAAGGCATGACATTAATGCTAGCGCCTAAATCCGCTAAGGACTTCCCTATATGCAAACTACCAATCATGCAAGGGATAGTGAAACTCCCTGGGTCTTTTCGCTTCTCTGGTAGTTTGTTCTGCAGGATGGCAGAACACTCCTCGTTGAGCATCACCGTTGACAGCTCCCCAAGCTTCCTCTTGTTGGTGAGGAGATCCTTCATGAATTTGGCATACTTGGGCATCTTCGATAATGCCTCCACAAAGGGCATGCTAATGTTTACCTGCTTCAGCATTGCCATGAATTTGGCAAACTCAGTCTCCAGTCGGTCCTTGTGCAATCGAGTAGGAAAGGGAAGCTGGGGTACATACTCCTTCACCACTGGTTGCGGTTTAGGAGTAGGCACCTCAACCTCCTTCTCCATGTCTTCCTGATTAGCTGGAAGTGCTGAAGCAGGGGTCTCTCTCTCCTCTGCCCGAACAGGCGGATCGGCAGTCACCTTGCCACTCCTGGTTGTGATGGCACTGCAGTTGGCATTCGGATCCTGTGGATGGGGAATGGTCTGACCAGGCAAGGTACCAGGAGTCCTCTGAGCTACAGCCTGGGCAACACTCCCAAGCTGGGTCTGTATATCCCGCAGCACAGCCTGTGTATTTCTCTGACCAGCTTCTAGCTCCAAGAATTTGCCTGAAGCTTTCTCCATGAATTGCTCGATGTTATTGAACTTGTTCGCACTGGAGGTGGCCAGAGAACCCACCAAATCTCTCAATTCCGCCATCGGGTCACTCTGTACTGGAGCTGCAGGTGCTGCTCCTGTCTGCTGAAATGGTCGCACCTGTGACTGTGGTGGAACTGGCCCCTGTCTGGGCTGGTAGAGTGGCTGCTGTGGCTGCTGAAATTGCCCCTGTCTGGGCTGGTACGGAGGCCTCTGAAAACTAGGTGGTCCTTGGGGAGCTGGTGGTCTGGGATTTGGCCCAGCCCAAGAGAAGTTAGGATGCTGGCGCCACCCCTCATTATAGGTGTTGCTGTAGGGGTCAAAGCGCCTGGCATTACCAATGAAGTCCACCTGCTCCTGGGGAGTAGACGACTCCCTCATCGCCTGACAGTCCTTCACGGTGTGATGAGAGCTCTCACACCACTGGCAGTGCATCGCCTGCGGCTGTCCTGTACCTGCAATCAAACCAGAACGATCGATAGCTGAAACCAGCTTCGATACCACCTGCACCAAATTAGATGACTGGGTGCCCACAGCGTGCACACCATGTCCTGGTGCTCGCCTCAATCTCCTGGCAGTGCCCAGTCGTACCCGTTCTCCGCCATCTCCTCAAAGAGGTGATTCAGTTGTGGCGGGGTTTTTGTCAGCATGTTCCCGCCACAAACCGAATCAATCAGCTGCTTGTCATCCGGGAAGAGGGCGTGATAGAAGGTGCCCACCTTGAATGCATCATTGAAACCATGATTGGGACACCTGAGGAAAAGACTGGTGTATCTCTCCCAAGCATCCCTGATGGTCTCATCTTCGTCCTGGGTGAAGTGGGTGATCTGCTTCTGCAAGTCAGCTGTCTTGGATGGAGGATGGTAGCGGGTGAGGAACTTGTCCGCCAGGTTGGCGAACGTAGTGATGGAGCCTGGAGGTCGAGTGTCTAGCCACTCCTTGGCTTGCCCCTCCAGAGTGAATGGGAAGTACCTCAGCTGGATGGCATCTGCGGGTACCCCATTGATCTTGATTCCATCAATGAGCTCGTGGAATCGCCTGAGATGTGATCGGGGGCACTCCCCCTCTTTGCCACGGAACATCACCGAACCGCGCAGCATGGTGATTACTGAGGTGCTCACCTCAAAATTATTGGCTGGGACATGAGGGTGTTGAATGGGTGACCTCATGTCTGCAGCCCTAGCGGTCCAGTAATGTCCCATGGTCTGCTCCTCGGGATCGACCACAGCATGGTCATGTGGATTAGCCATCTCCTCTTCTTCAGTGATCTGTAGCTGTGCTAGCGCCTCCTCCGCAGCCAGTCGTGCCTTTAGAGCCCGCTTGAAGTTTCTGCAGGTTCGTTCAAGCTCCTGGTCTAGTGGTAGTAGATCTCCCGACTGGCTACGGGTCATGCACTACCTGCACACAATCAGCAGAAGCAACCCGTGAAGGTACACAGGTGGAAGAGATAAAATGCAGTAAATAAAAAGCTAGAGTAACAAATTCTCACGTTTCCCTAATAACCTAGAGGGTTCCCCGGCAACGGCGCCAAAAACTTGATGCTCTAAAACACAACACCAATCTGCGACCAAGTGTAATCGCAGACCGGGAATGCAGTAAAGTAGCAAGTTATATTATCAACCCGGGGTCTAGATCTACTGCTTACTCAGTGATTCTCTGTTATCTAGCCAACTAAAGTAAATGATTGTTGTTTAAACTAAAAGCAGAAATAAAGCAGGAATTGATACGGTTTTCTTAAGCAGGAAAGAGTCACTCGGGAATGAGTCCCCCTAGCTCCTTAGTTAGGTTCAATTGCAATTTCCCCTGGGTTGATTTACTGTTGATTAGACTGCGGAAGATCCGACAGTAGCTTGGAATCTCTTAAGCTGACCAAGCCCTCTCAGTCTAACTACCCGGCAGACGACTAGTCTTCACCGGGATAGAAAGCTGAAGCAGTAAGAACAGAACTCCACTACTGGAATTGGATTCCAGTACAAAGCAGTAAACTGGCTAACTCTCGTATAGCCAATCTCCTACTATCGAATGATGAGACTCTAGCAACCTAATCAGATTCTATCTATCTCAGATTGCAGCAGGAATCAGGAAAAGTTGATCAGACTTCAATTGACTCAATAAACATGCATCATTCGATTAAAATCAAACAGTAATATCATCCCAAGTCATTACAATCAATCCCTAACACATAGAACTAGGGTTCTTCATCCCCAAGTGAGAGAGAGGTTCTACTCCATAGAGAGAGAGAGAGAGAGGAAAACAGTAATCGGAGTAGTCATACTCATAAAGATGAGGAAAATCTGCTCCGGGATGATGATTTCCACTCCTAGGACGATCTCCAAGCTTGATTTGATGAAACCCAGCTCCAAGATGGCTTCTAGGGTGAGTTCTTCGTCCTTTCTCTCTCTAGGGCTCTGTTTTTGCTCAAGAAATTCAATCCCTCTCTTGCAGCCCGGAATTGGGTTAAAACCAGGAAATCCCACACGGGCAGGGCCACACGGCCGTGTGGCATACCCAGTTGCCCGTGTGAGTCAAAACGCTGCGTTGCACTTAGTTCGATCTTCGGGCTTCTCACACGGCCAGAGTGGCACGGCCGTGTTTGATTTCCATCTGCCCGTGTCTGCTCTCGGCAAAAGTCACACGGCCAGACCACTTCTTCCCACGACCGTGTTAGTTGTCAGGGCAGGCCGTGTTTGCTCTCGGAAAAACTCGCACGGCCAGAAATATGAGTTGCACGGCCGTGTTATTTGTGGGTGTGCCCGTGTGGCCTCCTTTGTGACTTGCCTCGCGCCCGATCTTCGTCCAATCGACCCCAAACTCGCTCCCGAGTCTCCATTCACGTACTAGGACCTGAAATATCATAAACAAGCACAACCTAGCGTGAAATAGGCCTAAAACGCGAGAAATCACATCTCAAACGGTGTAAGAACAGGGGTAAAAACATGTGTAATTAACGGTCTATCATTATCCTAACAATCAAATGAAGGGCCCTCCTTTATGGTTTGTGCATTGCATCAATTGAAGGGTTCTTTGCTCTCCTCTATTCACCATTCTCCACCGATGAAGCTCTTTGGTTGGTTTCTAGTTACCCTTAAGTGGCTAATTCTAGAACTGTGATTCCGCCACTAGATGAAAACTTCTGAGTGCTCTCCATATCTGCATACAACACAACTATCCGCCACTAGATGAAAACTTCTGAGTGCTCTCCATATCTGCATATAACACAACTATCCCCTCATCAACACTAGATTACAAGTGTTACAACAATGCAACAATGAACACAACAAAGAAAGTGCATGACTACTGTGAAATCCCTTCAATTGATCTGGCAACTTCCAATCCCATGAAATATCTCATGTTGCCTAGATCCTTCACTTTAAATCCCTTCTTCAATTCCTGCTTCACACGCTCAATTTCACCCAAAACTGGTCCTGCCAACATTATGTCATCTACATACACAATCAGGACAACTGAAAGCATTTTGAAAACTGAATAATCATCAAGGGATTGCTCAAATCCCATGTGCTTCAAATACTCGGACAGCTTGATGAACCATTGTCTGGTGACTTGTTTAAGTCCATAAAGGGAGTTATTAAGTTTTAGAACCGTTCCTTCCAGGTAACTTAGACCCTTTAAACCATCTGGTACCTCCATATAAACCTCCTCTAAGTCACCATGGAGGAAGGCATTGCTTACATCCATCTGACGTAAGTGTCAACCCTTGATTGCAGCAACAACCAAAAGCATTTTGACTGAATTCAGTTTAGCAACAGGGGAAAAAGTGTGAATGAAGTCAACACCATAAGTTTGTGTGTATCTCTTTGCTACTAAACGAGCTTTACTTCTCTCTATCACCCCATCAGGTAAAAATTTGGTCTTAAACAGTAAACACCCATTTGTTCCCTACAATCTGCTGACCAACAGGAGGATCAACAGGAGTCCAAATGTTATTTTCTTCTAAGGCACCCAACTCTTCTATAATGGCTTTATTCCAATGATCTTCCTTAATGGCCTGAGAGTAGGTTTGAGGATAAGGTTGAAGTGAAATAGAAAGGGTGAAGTGTTTGTGATTAGAGGACAGGGTGTTGTAATTGAGAGAATGAGAAAGAGGGTAGGCCATTCTGGCATCATGAGAACAAGGAGTTCCAGTAGTAAGGAAGGATGTGTGAAAGTCTTGTAGATAAGCAGGCTGTCTAGAAATCCTTGTAGCTCTTTTAAGAGCAATATGTAAAGAGTCCTGACTTGTAGAAGTGGAAGGAGATGAGGAAGAAGAGGATGGAATAGAAGAAGAAGGTGTAAATGGTGAAACAGGAGTTTGAGCCATAGGTGTAGATGGGGAGTGGAATCTGTGTCTGTAAGAGAATAGGATGGATCTATAGTTTCATCGTAATTATGATCAGGAGGAAGAATGGGGGAAACAGGTAGGTGGAAGAAAAAGGTGAACAAGAATCCCTACTCTCAGGTATCTTAAATGGGAAATAATCTTCAACAAAATTCACATCTCTACTGACAAAGGTAGTATGAGTCTCCAGATCATACAATTTGAACCCTTTTATGCCAAAAGGATATCCTACAAACACAACCTTTTTGGCTCTTTCTGCAAACTTCTTCTTATGTTCATCCAAAACAGTAGCATAGGCAAGAGAACCAAAAGTTCTTAATGAACTTTAGTCAGGTGGTATCCCCTATAAACATTCAAATGGTGTTTTGCTGCCTAAGACAGGTGTAGGAGTTCTGTTGATTAGATATGAAGAATGCAAGACCAGATAACTCCAGAAGCTGGTAGGGACTCCAGATTGAAACTTGAGTGCCCTATCAACATTCAAAATGTGCTAGTTCTTGCGTTCTACTCTGCCTTTTTGCTGTACAGTCTTAACGCAACTCATTTCATGTAGAATGCCATGTTTATGATAGAAATCTGGCATGTTAAACTCCTGCCCCTGATCACACCTTATCACCTTCACAATTTTGTCTAACTGAGTTTTTACCATGCTACAAAAAGATTGAACTAAACCTCGTGCTTCAGATTTAAAGCTCATCAAAAACAGCCATACACATCTACTATGATCATCAACCACAGTGAGAAAATATTTGAAACCATCACAAGACACTATATCAACTGGTCCCCAAATGTCAACATGGACCAGATCAACTGGTTCCTTTGCAGTAGAAATACTCCTATTAAAAGGCAATCTTTTCTGTTTAGCTAAGTGGCTAACCTCACAATCACTCAATTCTGTAGCTATTACATCACTACATTGTTTGGTAATTTCTTGCAGTCTTGGAAAGGAAAGGTGTCCCAGCCTGGCATGCCACAACTTTGAGCTCTCACTGATGGTCACTCCAAGAAAATGTGGTTTGAGATTCTCTCTAGGTGCAACTGACTCCCCCAAGCAAGTAAAGCCCTCTTATTTACGTGGATTAAACCAATCCTCTGTCGAGAGATTAGGTCTTGGATACAACAAAAGTTGGATTCAAAATGTAGTGAGACTGGCTATTACTAGTCAACTGACTAATAGAAATCAGATTATAACTAAAGGATGGGACTAGAAGAACATTGAGTAAGGCAATGTTTGGTACGGTACAGTAAAGCATTCCATGGGAAGAGGGTGAAGGTAAGGCAACTTTTTCAAACCGCTTTAAACTGTCATATCGATTGAGAAAGTATTATGGTCCGACACGAGTACAACCGATTTATATGCCAACTTATGTCGGTTTTAAGTAAACATATGATGAAATGGGAAATCATTAATACCAAATGAATTAAGCATATATATAATTTATCTTATGACATTATTTCCATAATCTACATCCATATTAAATAAAATACCACATTACAAAACAAAATGACGAACCCTTGTTTTCGAAAATCTCTTAAGAGAAGAAAACAGCTAGCAAAGGGTGTAGAAGTGTCATACCTTCGTGGATTGATCAAGTCATCCCACAAATTCTTTTCTTTTAGCAATTAATATCATCAAAAAGACGTCAATTGTTTAGGATTTGAAAATTATTCGGTTTGACTAGACTATTTCCCCATTTTATCCTTTTTGGCTATTTTTGCAAATTTTGCCTATCGCTTCATACTGGTTTCTTCCAATCATTTGTTCCACTACCGATTAAACCTAGTCATACCGACTGATATACTAGTGAGGTAAGGCACTATTTTCCAACGAGAAAATTTTTGGTGTTTAAATTCGATTGATGAACCTTTGACTTCTTAAAAAACAACAAATACATGGTTCACTCCTCTCCGAACAATGTTCGAACGAGGGTGTTTGATGTTTATTTATGATTTTTTGGGGAACAAGCTACGCTAAATTACCCCTACTCATATGGAGGTTTAGTGAGAGCTCCGAAAACTAAAAGTTATGGCTAATTTGCAGAGAAAATATAAAAGTTTGACATTGTGGGTCAAATGTTTAGTTTTGGAACCCTTGCTTCGTCTTTCTTTCTCCTATTTATAGTCATCGCTTGTAAGCGTCGTGTAACCAACTCTTTGTAACCGCTACTCCATTACTTGGTGCTTGATGTAGCTTGCTTGACGCCTTAACCATCTTAATCGCACGCTACTTGATACCTTGACACCTTAATGACTTCACTTGATAGCTAGCCCCTTGTGCCATGGAGGTGTCTTACTTAGTGGGGTGAGGGCTTCATGCTAACTGACTCGCTACTACTACACCACGGATTAAAATCCCTCTACTAGAGCCCAAGTATAAACTCTAGTCGGGTACAATATAGGGCAAGTATTTAAATGTCAAACCCGGGACGGTCCATGTACCCCTACTTCAATCGTTTGAAATATTATCTAGCAATTCATTTTTAGTTAAACTACGCACTACAATTGAAAGCAAGCAAAAAGGTAAATGGTTTTGAACACTAATTGAGAGGCTTCATCCGGGTGTTGCTTCCCCTAGCCATATATCAAGATTAAACGAAAAGAATGCAAGTGTGTGCAAAAGTGGTTGTAGACCGTAGGAGAGCGCAACCAGTGAAGAAGCTTCACTCTCGGTCGATAGGCCAAGGGATGTCAAATCAAGCTAACAAATTAGCTCTCTTGGCCACTCGTCTAAGGTTTACCAAGGCTTCTCCCTCTGACCTTAATCTGGAAGGCCAAACAACAACCAACTCAAGGTGTTAAAACGTAGTATGAGGTTTGCCTAATTCGGCCTAAGTAGGTGGCTCAATTTGGCCAAGGAATTCCAGCTTATAAAAGCCTCTTAGCAAGAAGTGGATTTCCCTCTACCTATGTCAAATCGGTACAATAGTGATAAATGGAAAACACAACTCAACCTTCATGAAAATAAGTCAAAACTTGCTTTAAAACACAAAACATTCAATTCATACAACATATCACATAGTTCTAGCTAGGGTTTACAGCACCCAAGTGAAAGAAGGGAACTACTTCATGCTTAAACTAGGGAATACACAAAGGAGAAGAGAAAATACCATCTTGAGATGTTTGCCTTCTTCCTTTGGTGTATAAATAACCTTGGTGGAAATTTTTCTCGAATCTTAAAGTTTGGATGAAGCCCTAGCTTTCTCCTCCTCTCTTGTTCGTCACTCTCTCTCTAAAATCTGAGTAAGAAGATGGCATTCTCTCACTAGGCTCTCCCTTCTCTTTCAACTCCCCTCTCATTAATACCCAAATCGAGAGCCTTTCACGGTCCCAGTTCACGACTGTTAACTTGAAGCTTGGACCTTGATCTCAAACAAAAATGCGTCGTATCATTTCAAGTCTTCACGCTCGGGGGCGAATATCATGGTCGAGTGACCGTGATATTGTTTAGGCTCACGAGGCACAAAAACTACTCTGGTCTTCATTATCATCACAGTTTGGGCTCCATTATCACGGTCGATGTGACCATGAAGAACTGGCTCCCACCGTGATCCTCGCCTTTTTTCATTCTTTGATCCGTTTTCGCCCCCTTTCGTCCAACTTTCACTCCTGAGGCCAATTCCACCTGCTAGGATCTTAAACATACTTGAAACAGAACACCCTAGCGTAAAATCGAACATCAAGGGATGAAAATGCCTCAAACACCTCAAGAATATGGTGAGAAAACATGTGCAATTGGACCCTGAATCACTAACCACCCTTGCATGACGTCATGCTTGACACTAGGATGCTTGGGGAGTTAAAGGATGCACACTGAACCCCTTTAGGTGGCATCATGCTTGCGGGTTCTTGACAAGGTGGTCTATCATGTGATGATATACATGGGTGACACTTAGAAACTTAATGACCTTGTCTACTGCGTACCCTACATGAATACGAGGCCTAGCATGCCTGACTACTTGGGATGAGAGTACTTTGTGCCTACCACATTGGCATTACGTCATGCTTGGCACCCTAGTGCTTGGTACGCAATCAAGGGGGAGAATCTATACTTAGCCATTTATCTTTGCGCATTATTTTCACCATGCTTGACCCGTGAGTGTCGACCCTCCTTGTACTCTCCTCTAACGCATCACAAGATGTCATAGGCCTCTAGTCTTCTCCAGCTATACTCGATACATCGCCTTCTTTAAGCAAGTCATCGTCGGTACGCAATCAACCATCAACACTGCTTCCTCACAAGCTAACCTTTGTTCACATTGATAGATGGCTAACTTTTCCAACAAGGCCATCACTTCGGCTCTGCCCATCACAATAGTGATATCACTTCTACTCATCATTGACACTTGTTTCATCTTTAGGTGGACCATCCAAAGCCATCATAGATGTTCTTATAATGTCGGATAGTGGGTCGAGGCATGACTTGCTCAATACCATAGGACTTGACATCAATACTGTGCAAGACCCTCCATCTATACTCCTTACTGCTAAAGACCCAAAGTCTCCGTGATAGAGTGGAGCATCGGCCACGTTAGCACCAATTGCAAAAAGGTTTGGTGTCTTCTTGTATTACCTATACTGCTCATTCCACATTCCAAAACATCAAACCCTGACAGAGTGATGATGGGACACACTTGTTGGTATGGATCCAATCCCTTCCCAACAAGACATTGTAGCTTATCGCCCCATCCACCACAAAGAAGGAAAACATCTTCTCTTGACTACCAACTCCAACTATGACTGGTAGTATCTCTCTTGCCGATGTTGATCCCTCATTGAAGCTAGTAACAAAGATGTCAGTAGGAATCAAATCACGTGTACACTTCCCCAATTTCCTTAACAGCCTAAGTAATAGGCATCACATTGACAGCACCCCGATTGTCAGCAAGAATTTTTGACATCGGCATACCATCCAACCTAACCTTGATATACATGTGCCTCAAATGCCTTAACATACTTGAATCTAGTTCCTTGAAAACCACTAAGTGACTTCACTCATCTCTCATGT